TTTAATGTCATTCTCAAATGAAATGAGCTTAAGCAGGCGTAACCGCCTCCACAATATTTCTCCTGCATTATTCATGGTGCTCCCATCCCTCCTCGGCCTGCCTCCTCTGAAAAGATCCAGTCGCGCTTTCCCTGAGCTACAAATTTTTTATTAAAAAGCACCTGCTTTTGTGAGCGGTAGTCGCGGCTTAGGGAAGCTAATGCCTTTTAATAATATTTGTTAGCCTGAAAGGGGGCTGCCCGCCTCCGCCTCCTGCTCCTCCTTTGAAATTTTGCAGACTGAACAAGTTTCTCCTCTTCAAGTGAGTTGGGACGTTGCAGATTTGATGGGAGGGCGTGGGAGAAATGGGTGACATGTGTTTGTCTGCCTGTGTGTGAGTCTGCTTAGCAGTTGGCCGGGAAGGGGAGCAATTTGCACACCGAGGGAGTCGTTCTAAAAATCTCAGACTGCTTCCGTGTGGCACAAAGACATGGGGACGGGAGGCATTCTGAACCTCGCTAGTTCTTAGTGCGCTCCAGAAGCCCCTTCCACAAAGGGCTGCACTCCTTCTGTTCCTGCTTTGCACTTGTTTTAAAATGGGGATGGGATGGGATGGGATGGGATGGAATAGAATAGAACAGAACAGAACAGAACAGAACAGAACAACAGAATAGAATAGAATAGAATAATGGAAAGTAGAGTCGAGTCGAGTCGAGTCGAGTCAAATAATAGAATAGAATAGAATAGAATAGAATAGAATAGAATAGAATAGAATAGAATAGAATAGAATAGAATAGAATAGAATAGAATAGAATAGAATAATGGAAAGTAGAGTAGAGTAAAGTAGAATAGAATAGAATAGAATAGAATAGAATAGAATAGAATAGAATGGAATAGAATAACAAAATGTAGAGTAGAGTAGAGTAGAGTAGAGTAGAGTAGAGTAGAGTAGAGTAGAGTAGAGTAGAATAGAATAGAATAGAATAGAATAGAATAGAATAGAATTACCTCCTTCCAGATTCTTGGAGTTTTTTGGTTATTCTTATTTCAGGCTTACAGTATATGACAGTATTTGTCTGTTTCCTGTCTCAAAACAGTGAAAAACGATGCCATCAGATTTTAGCAGAGTTGGTGCAGTTCCAAAAACTGTAAAAGAGAATCCCCCTCTCAGTCTAAGTGGAATACGATTAATAGAAAAGCAACAGAGTTGGAAGGGACCTTGGAGGTCTTCTAGTCCACCTCACTGCCAGTCTGCCTTGAACCCTGGGGAAGGGAGGGCAAGGGCCCAGGGGACAATGAAGATGAACCGTGAGAACTGGAGAACTAGGAGAAGAAGGCCAACACGTAGAGTGACTGTTTCCAAAACATCTCTTTTAAACTTGATTGGACAATGAGAGATAAACAATAGGAAGGAGCCTATTAACTGGCAAAAATCTGGCACAAACTCTCAGTTCTGGCTTTATCCTACTGTGGTTCACTTGACCTCTAGTAAACTATACCTTTGTCAACAACTGGAGTTAAGGATCGTTTTTACTTAGAAGCCCAAGTTGAGGCCGGTCTGTTACTTTTCCACGGTTACGAACCTGGGAATGATATTCTAAACCTTGCTCTAGTTCCCATCCACCCACCTTCTCATCAATAAACCAGATTTTTAATTTCTACCCACGTGCAATCTTATTTTATTCTTTTGGGTCGTGATGCCATCCCCTGAAACTCTGGCTCGCCTTGAAGGCTCGTGAGCATTTGGGAATGTTGCAACGGCGCTTCCCAAAGTCTTTAGCTCCTGGAGTTGCAACGCAATTGAACTTGGCAAGCTCCCATTATGTTCCCCACCACCACCCAAAAAAAAAAAAAGAAGCACTTGGGGAAAAATGATATTGTTCCCAGCAAAGCAAGCTTGCTCTTTAAAAAAAAACACAACCTAGCTTCTAACTCCAGCTAAGAACAATAATATACAAGCAATAATAGATTTACCCCTCAGGTTCTGCTGGAGCTGTCAAGATAATAACAACTCATTTTTAAAACGTCAACCAAGCTGTGCTAAATTCCAGGGGAAGAAATCCAATGAGCAGGAAGTTTCTGCTAGGTTTGCCGGCTCTGTTTTTCATCTCTCCTTCGCTTTTTTTTTTTCTGAGCTGGGAAGACTTGAAAGGGAGAAGAAGATCAGGGCTATTTCACCCCAGTTTTCTCCCTTGCTCTACAGCAGGGCTTTTCAACCAGTGGTATGGGTACCACCTGTGGTACATTGACACCTGGCAGGTGGTACACAACCATCCTAGAAAAGTGGTAGCAGGGGAGGGGAATGAGCTGAACCGGTGGCAGCACCGCACAAGCCTGAGCGAGAGATGGCTGGAGCTGCAGGGCTGTCAGGGCTCAGCGGAAGCGCCAGGATCAGCGCCAGGCTCCAGCTGGAGCTCAGCGCTGATCCTGGTGCTTCTGCTGAGCCCTGAAGAAGCACCAATCAGCTGGAAAGCGGCACTGATCCTGGTGCTTCTGCTAAGCCGAGAAGAAGCATCGATCAGCTGGAATGTTGCAGCATCTCCAGGGTCTTGTGATTTACATTCAGATGCTTGGCAACTGATTCATATTTATGACGGTCACAGTGTCCCAGGGTCATGTGAAGTGACCAAAACCTGCTGCAACCACCCAACAGATGGGGGGGGGAATAAAAACCAAACCCCCTCCCACCCCACCCCCAACAGAAATGCTCACAACAATCCCCAACAGAAATGCTCACAACAATGGAAACCTCGGACAGGAGGAAGAGTGCGGCCGGGCGGGCAGGCAGGTGTTTTGCTCGGCTGTGACTTGGGGGGCACTTTTTTCAGTGCTATTGTAACTTCGAACAGTCACTAAGCGAACTGTTGTAAGTCGAGGACTACCTGTACTTTATCACTTTTTTCCTTTTTTTTTTTTTTGGTCATCAAGTTTTTGACACCTTGCTAGGGGACTGGTGGTACTCGGATGTTGCCATATCCTAAAAGAGGTACAATGGGTGAAAAGGTTGAAAAGCCCTGCTCTACAGAATAAGTGTCATCATCATAAGGTGAAGAGTTCCCTTGCATCACACCTAAACAAAAAGCTAAAACTACGACTGAGAGAGAATCTGCCTGCTCTTGGCTAAGGTGGACAATGAAAGACAAAATGGTTGAAACCAAACAGGAGCTGTTTTTTTTTCCTGTTGAGGTGTCCAGGCTACTGGGGTTAATTTTGAGGGACGATTGAGAACTTATAACTGACTAAGAGAGTTGGAAAGGACCTCGGAGGCAGGAGACCCTATTCCCTTCAGGACAAATGGCTGTCCAAATTCTTTCCCCCCCCCCAATATTTTATTAATTTTTTATAGTCACAAATGCTTAATATTCCTGCGTTTCGCCAACTCATCGGGGCTATCATTTTCAAGTGAGATGTTGTGCTGCCAAGGCTTTATTGATCTCATTTTCTCGGCAAAATGCTTATTAATGTTATCTTGTTACCCCTTGATGCATATGGACTTCTGCGGCGGGAACGGCAGGCTGTAATTGTCTCTTGGCACAGAATTATTCAGGGGGTTCCCCCCCCCCCCACACACACACTATCTTGAAGAGAATAAAGAGCATATGCAGTTACACTAATGACTTCGTTTCTAAAGGGCTTCGTGTACTGTGGGGAGGGGGGGCGCATCGGTAACGAATTACACCTAGATTAACAATAATTCATTTTAAATATCCTACTTAGAAAAGGCTGTTTTGATTGCTAAATGCAAATATTTCTCTCTTGCTCCGTTTCCTTTTTCTTCTGAGGCTGTTTTAAAAAACTGTGCACTTCCTCCATCATCTTGCTGAAAATAATTTGGATAATTTGGATATTCCTTCCCTTCCCTTCCGTTCCATTCCCTTCCCTTCCCCTACCCTTTCCTTTCCTTCTCTTCCCTTCCCTTCCCTTCCCATTCCTTTCCTTTCCTTTCCTTTCCCATTCCTTCCCTTTCCATCGTTTTCCTTTCCTTCCCTTCCCTTCCCCTTCTTCCTTCCTTCCTTCCTTCCTTCTTTCCTTCCTTCCTTCCTTCCTTCCTTCCTTCCTTCCTTCCTTCCTTCCTTCCACACTAACTAAATGAAAATAAGAAAGGCAAGGCTTAAAATGTTGGACATTATAAACCGAATATTCCCAATTACAAAATTCAGAATTATTGTGACATACTAGAGTAACTGCATATTGCATCAAAATATGACAGTAATCGGCTTTCTGGATGTTGGCAAACATTGCTTTTAGTCCATTATTCTGTCATCTTCCTAGAAACACCACAAGAGATTATTTTTTTTAAAGAACAAACACAAAGCTTTTCAATGTGGTTTCAGGGTTCTTGTTTGCATTCACACTTCCCCACCTATTACATAAGTGGGTGTGTCTGAAAAACAGCTACAGAGCCCGTTTTTATCTTTTGAGTTTCTTTATTATGAAGAACTCTTTCTTGGAAAGCAGTTGCCCTCTTCAGATTTTACATTTGTATGATACAGGAAAATGTAATTTACTCTTATTAAACTTGTTATTTCTCCACATAACTAGTTATGAAGTACTTGTACAGGATTCCAAGCAAACATTACACAAGAAATAAAAATAAATGTTATCATCATGAAATCTTTATGATTTCAAAGGCCAGTTGGCTCTCCTGGCTTGACTGGACCCTGATTTTGAACAGTTCTGGTCTTCTCCCATCAGCTGGTCCAACCAAGGAAGAATTTCATTAATTTCACTTGAGGGGGGGTGAATATATAGAAAATGATTTAGTGGAATGGCAGAGATAAAACACGAGTTACAAAACAAAGCAACTTGAGAAACAGCGAAACTGGCAGATTTCATCCATCTTTATGAGCAGGGATCTTCATGCAGTTAAATCTCCTACAATTATATACAAAAAGAAAGAGAGAGGGAGAGAGAGAGTTCATAATAGCCAGGTAAAATACAAATTTCCAGTTAAGAAAATAGTCCTTAAAAATGCATAGAAACTCCATTGGGGTGGGGGGGGGTCTCTACTACACCTTGGTTTAGGTCCTGTGAATGATCTTCAAGGTGATGGGTTTTGTAGGTCTTCGGAAGATCCCTTTTGTGGCTAACACCAGTGGGATCTGCAACAGGAAAGAGGTGGACAAGATATATTTAAATACCAGGAAATAAAATATAGGGAAAATTCAGGGCAAGGTCTGAATTTCTTTCATCTATTAATTCTACCTAATATAATTCTATCATTAGGTTTGGCTGGCTGGGAATGATGGGACTCAGAATCCACAAATTTGGAAGAATCCGCCTTAGGGAAGAGTGTTGAATGTTTTCTGGAATTACTTAATTTGAAGGTGAGTCATTGTTTTAAGAATTTTCAGTCTGTGGGTTGTCCATTCCAAGTGACTGTAGCATATTGGAAGATAGATTTTGAAATCTCATTTCGCCCTATAAATATATTTCCTAGTATATATCAGTGTTTTCCTATGATTGCATGGGGTTTTGATTCGTGTCATCCCATAATTGGACAATAAGTTCATCTTTAGAGGAAGAAGAAACAGAATTTATCCTCTCTTCTGTAGCTTTAGTTGAAGATAAGTGGCTGCCAATTCACGGCTGGTCGTTCTTGAGGAAGAAGGATGAGATGCATCCTCCAGACATGATTCAGAAGAAGTGATCCAGAACTTGCATGAGTGCAGATCTTCACAATTCATTACGCAGAAGCCAGAAACAAGATGGACTACCTTAATGAAGACTATTGGTTCTGCACTTATGCAGCAAAGTCCAAATCACTCGTTCCTGGTCAAATCAAATCAAATCAAGTTTATTACAGTCAAAGACCAGAGACCTGGTCATGTTCAAGGCATGCTCAGATGTTCCTACCACTGATGTTGCTAATACTAGCACTGAAGATGTTGCCTAGTTTGAGTAATGAAACTTCTGCAAGAAAACAACCAAGCTCAGAGAGCACCAAGGACTTATTGGTCGTTCCTATTCTCATGCTTTGAGGGGGCATTTCATTACTCAGACCAGGTAACATCATCCATGCTAGGGACCAGTGTAGGAGCAACATCTGAGCATGCTTTGAAAGAGACTGGGAACAAGTTATTTGTGTTTTATATGGGACGATATACATTTATTTCTAAATTAGCAATGTCTTTGCATTTCTCCCTTGTGGAGTTGGATCCTTGCTAGAAAAGAAAAAGTTGGGCCAGGAACACGGCTTTTGAGTCCACGGCTCTATTTTCTTCCAACTGGAGAGCAAGAGTCAAAGAGTTAAGCTACAAAAATGCAAGCTGCATCTTCCAAATATTTGATGTTATGTTGGCTGCAGGTGAAGCGTTACCTGTCGAGCATTTACCCTCCAGAATAGCTCTGTGCGTGACACTTTCATTAGATCTCCTGTCTCTGCTACTGAGAAAGAAAGGGGGGATTTGATGCCAACGGGTTGTTTTTCCTCCATAAATGAGCACAGCTCAATTCCTGATCCTCACCTGAGTTTCTTTACAGGGCTGGAAGGTGAAATGCTGCATCAACCTGGCTACGGCGGCCTTCATGGTAAGGAGAGCGAATCTCATCCCGATACAATTCCGGGGACCGGCTCCAAAAGGCAAGTAAGTGTAGGGGTTGATCTTCTCCTTGACCTCTTTGCTGAATCTGTTGGGACAGACCAACATTCGGTCAATTGCAGTAGTCAGCCGGTCTAGGAAAAGGACAGGCAGAGCCCGGGGGTGGAGTCAAGAGAGCAGTCAGCCTGGAATCATTACACTCTCACAAACGGTCTAAGTCCAATCCCTCTTGAATTCCCTTAACTCTTATCTAGCACCAGTTTAGTGCTCACGGTCAGAGTCTTGCGTGTAGGCATAAACAATTGAATTGAATAGAAGAGAGCTGGAAGGGACCTTGGAGGTCTTCTAGTCCAGCCCCCTGCTCAAGCAGGAGAACCTATGCCATCTCAGACAGGTGACTGTCCAGCCTCTTTTTAAAAATCTCCAGTGATGGAATCAATCAGTTTAACTGGAGTCCTGGTTCTTCACACCTGACAACCACCAATTCATTCCATTCTCGTTCTAGCAAGTTGCATCTCTTCTGAAGCCTTTTGTTGGTGGAACCTTTCAAGTGGATCCTTGGGGCAGCAGATTCTTCAAGGGGGGCAGGTTGGAAGAGTCTTAGGATGGCACCATTAGCCCTTCAGGGGAGCCCAGACCAGGTAAGTGAAACCAGGAATACTACAAAACCTTTACTCTAAGGTGAGAGTAACGGAATCTTGCAAGTCTGGAAACTCTTCTCTCCTCCTCTATGTTTATGTTCCAGAGAAATAGGAAGAGTCCCTTCTGATATGCTTCCTCCAGCCCTATTCCTGCTCTGGACTTAGATGTCTTTTATCAGACCATTGTTTAGGCTGCAGATACTTCCTTCCATCTCCCAAAGTTATTCTCACAGCCCATTACAGGCACCCAATTTGTCTGCCTTATGAGCAGACAAGATCACCTAACAAGCTTTTTGGTCAGGAAGTTTCAACTCATTCTGACTTTTTCTTACCATCAAGTCATCGGTTATGAGAACTGGAAGAATTAAAAAAAAACCCATAGAAATATCAAAGGGTACCTTTCAGGTCTAAATTGATCCGGTTCAGGCCAGTATTCTGGATCATAATGCAAGATGGTGGGAGGAATCATAATGAACATCCCTTTGGGGATGGTGATTCCGTTTAATTTGATGGTTTTCTTGCACACTCTTTGAAGTCGCCCGGTGCCTGGATGCTTTCGTAGAGTTTCACTGAGGACCATATCCAGATACTCCATTTGCATGAGAGCTTCATAGGTGATTGGAGCCTGAGAGAGGGGGGGAGGGAGGGACAGGGAGGGAGGGAAGGAGGGAGAGAGACATAGAAAAAACTTGCTTATTTTGTCCCTAATTAACCTTAAAAGTTAATATCTGTATCTAGAGCAGAAGATCACAAACTCATGGAGTCAAGAAAGTTAACTCCTGTGACTTTCTGGATTCTCTCAATTTCCCACAGTCTTTCCTAGGACGTGTTTCGAATCTCCCATTTTGTTCTACAGTCCTTGAAGCTCTTCTGTTCAGATAACAACCAAGTCCAATGCCGTGGTTTTTGTTTGTTTGTTTGTTTGTTTGTTTGTTTGTTTGTTTGTTTGTTTAGAATATACTAGTCACTCAACTCCAAGGGACTCTGGATGGCGTACAAGACTGGACAATCCATAGAAACAAACGAAAACATCAAGTGAGCATCCCAGACAGAAACCGTCTGGTAAACAACACAAATCAAACAACACAGAGACCTTAGCCTAGACAAACAATAATTCACCAACCGCAGGCCTGGGACCCAAGCCAGGTTAGCTGGCTTGCTCTTTTGAGAGAATGGCATATCAACAACAGCTTGCTTTGCCTTGTGTTATCACATCCCTATCGCTGTAGGAGGTGACATAGTGTTACCATAGCAACATACTCACTATGGATTGCATGTTCTAAAGGTGCAAAATGTAAGACGTGTTTTATTGTGGTTGTCATCATCGTTGTTAACAGGTTTTCCTTAAGGATTAGAATGTTCTCAAGGAGGCCATCAACTCAAGGCTTTGGTGTGGGACTTACGCCATTTTTCCACAAGAAAGCATCAACCCTAAATTCGGATAGCTTAGAGTTTGGTCCATCATTGTTTAGCAGCTGATCTAAAGGAAAACCAATTATGCTCAAAGAGCTACTTCAATCAATCAGAATAGAATTGGAAGGGACCCTGGAGGTCTTCTAGTCCAGCCCCCTGCTCAAGCAGGAGACCCTATACCATTTCACACAGGTGGCCATCCAGTCTTTTCTTGAAAACCTCCAGTGATGGAGCACCCACAACTTCTGAAGGCAAGCTGTTCCACTGGTTAATTGGTCTCACTGTTAGGAAATTTCTCCTTATTTCTAGGTTGCTTCTCTCTTTGTTCAGTTTCCATCCATGGCTTCTTGTCTTGCCTTCTGGTGCTTTGGAAAATTAGTTGACCCCCTCTTCTTTGTGTTAGCCCCTCAAAATACTGGAATGCTGCTATCATGTCACTCCTAGTCCTTCTTTTCATTCAACTAGACATACCCAATTCCCGCAACCGTTCTTCATATGTTTTTGTCTCCAGGCCTTTAATCATCTGAGTTGGTCTTCACTGCACTTTTTCCAAAACCTCAACATCTTTTTTGTAACGTGGTGAGCAAAACAGGATGCAGTATTCCAGAATACCACTTGTTTGGAATATTAAGTATCCAGCATCCTGGATACTTAATATTCCAGATGACGGGAATCAGGGCGGAGCTTAATGGACATAGTTGAAAGCCTAATTGCATCAAAGTTGAGTCCCACCTACCTTGTTAGGCAAAACTACGTCAATCTCCTCCTGAAGTTTTTGCTGTATGTCAGGATGGATGGCCAATTCATACGTCAAATAACTGAGGGCGCTGCTAACGGACTCATAACCAGCAAAGATGAAGATAATTGCTTGAGCCAGAATCTCACTGTCAGTCAAACCTACATGAAGAAGGGAAGAGAGAAAAGTTGAAGGCCACCTTGTGATGCAAAGAATCGCTAACTCAAGGAACCATTGGAGAAGACGCACACGAACGGGGTCATCTTTCTTTATGGATCCATTGGCAAAGCGTTCTTTAGCCTGGTTTCCTACAAGGTTTAACTGAAGTTTATAGGTGGGATCAAGAAATTGTAGGCTGCATCCAAGAAGATCTGAATTCTTATGAAGGTTTCCCTCAAACCCACTAACTTTTTTAAAAATATTCCTAAACTGTCTCAGTGCTTCTTTCCTTCACTGAGAAGTTTGTCTCTCTCGCCCACATTGTTTTATTAATTCCCACAAGCAGACTTAGCAATGAAAGCTGGTTCCGGTTCGAAGACGTGACCGTTGACGATGGTTTCAAATTATTACCTTTATAGGTGTGATTCACACCATTCATCTCATGGCTTGTCAGTGAGTTTTGAGATTCTATCATCAGTTGCAAGAAATCCACTCTTCCCTGAAATAATAAGAACATTTCAGAATGCTTGCTTCTTGATAACTTGGCCAGAGTAGTATTTACACCATAGCTACAGTTTCAATAACCTGATTACAGCTATGCCACTTTATTTAGAAGGAATCCCCTAATTATTTCCAGATCATTGGTTGCAATGCTATGTTTTAATTTTAAAGGGATTTAATACAGGAAAGGATTGGATATGCTTATACCTAAAATGGAATGCTATGTTTTATTTTGAATCTAACAAGAGATGGTTGGTCCTGCCCAGGATAGAACCATGTCTGAGTTAACCAAAATCCCAGAGATTGCCATCACAAAAGCTGGTTGTATCGATCTTAACACAATATGTTTATGACATTGCCTTATACAAGAGGCCCAGTATGTAAAAAAAAAAAAAAAGTTAGATTTTGATGATTAACAGAATAACAGAGTTAGACGGGACCTTGGAGGTCTTCTAGTTCAATCCTCCACTCAAGCAGGAGGCCCTAAACCATTTCAGACAAATGGCTGTCCAGTCTCTTCTTAAAACCTCCAGTGATGGAGCACCCACAACTTCTGAAGGAAAGCCATTCCACTGATTTATTGTTCTCACTGTCAGGAAATTTCCCCTCAGTTCTAGGCTGGTTCTCTCCTTAATTAGTTTCCATCAGTTATTTCTTGTCCTGCTCTCTCTGGTGCTTTGGAGAATAGGTTGACCTATTTGTGACAGTTCCTCACATATTGGAAAACGGACACCACGTCTCTTGATTTGAAAGAGCTACTATGAAGCTACTTTGCTGGGAAAAGATTACAGGTATGAATTCCCGATTCTTGGTGTGTGTTTTTCCCCGAATTAACTTAGTCATTCAGGCTTTTTCCGCACCTTTGGACCCTCTTGGGCCCTCTTCTCTTTCAGTTTTGTTACGGACCTTGCAAAGAATTCCACGGACTCATTGGAAAAGATATTTACATTCATCTTTTCAAGAAGAGGGGTTATCCATGGGGCAACATCTGGAAAGAGAAGGGAAAGCGTTAGAAGAACACGGCAGGTGCCATCAGAAAATAGGTTGTAAGTTGCTTGGAAGCAGAAGGAGATGGTTATCAAGGCAGGGGACATTTATTTGAGAGGTGTAATTAATTATTTTAAAGGGGGAAGTGGTCGTGAGATTCAGTGCCGTCAGCCACGCAAGATGGTGCCGACAAAAAGCACACCCAAAAGTTCCACTTCTAACTTTATTGTAAGGTTACACTAATGGAATCTTGTAGGTTTGAAGATACCCCTCTCCCCTTTACAGTCTAAGAAACTAGGGAGGGTTCCTTCTGAAATGGTTGCCACTTCCCATTCCTTCTCTGGGCTCAGCTGCCTCTTATCTGATCATTGTCTAGTCTTCACCTCTTCCTTCTCTCCCTCAAGGCCATCCCCACAGACCATGACAAGTGCTAAACTGTCTCAGGGGTTACAAAGAATGGATTTCAAAGCTGAAGGTAGAACCAACCTACATAATAAAATAAACAGTGGAGAAAGGAAGTCAATCGTCATCAGTTTTTGTGCCTGTTGGACAAAGGGGTCTTTGGGGTTGTTCATGGCATCCGTGTCGACACCAAAAGAGGTGCTTGTGACCACATCCATACTGTAGGCACCAAAGATTCTGGAGAAATGCAAGACACAAGTGGTCAAAATAAGGAAAAAGAAGGAAGAAGGCCCTCAAATGTCCATCTGTATGCTTCCATCTGTATATGTCAAACTTTTATGCCCGGAACACTTTCTTTAGGTGATCAAGATACAGACCTGGATCTGCTCGTAAACTTCTGCTAGATTTCAGTTTGATCTAGATTTTCAACAGTTTGATCTGGAACATGAAGAGTCTTTACTTTGAGACCTAGATTTTGAGCTTGATCAGCTTTTTGAGGCACTATGGGATCTACTCCAGCAGATGCAATTATCTACCTGATTGTCTTCTAAAATGGTTCTGTAGGATCTCCATTGTCATCTGCTATTTTCTCCTGAGAGGTTCTTCCACAGGTTTCAATTGCTAACATCCTCAACTTTCCTCTTTTCCACGAGCTGTCAAGGGCAGCCATTTTTGTCATCTCAAGAAGTGAGGTTCCAAACAGAGGACCACCATTTCTCCAGAGATGAAGGACTCCCCCCCAGCCCACATAGTCAGGCTGTTACTCACTTTTTAACGTCCACCAGTTCTTCTCGATCTGCTTTCTTCTGCAAAAGCGCTAATAAATGTTTCACATAGTTCTGAATGATGGGAAACATCTAAGGGAGAAGGATGGAGACACACAAAATGCAAGTAAAGGAGAAACAGAGCCTAACTTTTTGTCCTATAGCAAAATCAGCCCTAATGGGTCCTCCCCTCTTATTCCTCACCTCTTTTAGCTTTCCACTGGTGAAAGTGGGCGAAAGGACTGTCCGAATCCTCTTCCACTGCTCATCTTCTGCTATCACAATGGCTGTCTTCAACTGGCCACGGGGAGCAAAAGTCTAAGGGACACATTTGAGAAAGAGAGAGGAATGGATGTCCATCCCACATTAGGAAGAGCAAAAAAAACAACAGGAGAGGCTTCGAACACACCATTGCAATGTCCATCTGGACTTGGCAACCAGCCCTGTCCTTACAAAAAGGCAAAAGTCTTATCGCCGTGCTATAAAACTCAACAAAACTCTACAATTCTACAAAAGTCTAGCTCCCTGGTGAATTATTCCTTCTGGTCCTACTTAACTATAATCTAGGTTCACGCAGATGTTGGTTTGCAGGCCATTGTTAATCACGTCAGGTGAAAACCAAGCATTCAGACACCATGCTAAGTATAGTTATTATTTACAGCTTGGTTGTGTTTATTTAAGGGTTAGCAAGTTGGATCAACATTTACTTCTTTGCGTTTCAAAGTATTTTGCCAGCCTAGAAACACCCGTAACTGTGCAAACACAATTTTTAGATTTTCAAGGCAATCTATCTACACTGACTTCCAAACAAGCTTCCCAACTCGTTTTTAAACGGCTGGTGCATTTAAACTTAAGTCCTTCCTAAGTTTATTCCTCTAACCATTAAGCAACCTGAGACTCCTCCCTCTCTTATCTAATTGTTTCCTAAGTAGTATCTCTTTCCCTCTTCCCCCAAGACCATTCACACTGCCCATTACAACCTGGTCACAGGTCTTAAGGGACTTCTGGAATGAGAGCAGGGATGGGGCTAACCTGACTTGGAAGAGTGGGGAGAAAATGTTTCATAGGGAAGTTGCCACTGAGAGAAGGCCCATGTCCCAGGACCCACACAATGTAGGTCCCTGACTGCAAAATATCTTTTCTTGGGTTGTAATTATCGCATTCTGATTCTGTCTATAATCAAAGCATTTTTCTAAACGTTGTCGGAATGTCTGCAAAGTTGAAACTCACCCCACGATTCAGGAAGGTGGAATAACTCTCTTTTATCAGTATAATTTTAATTATCTCAGGGTCAGTTACAGCCAGAATGGGCCGTCGTCCATTGTAAGTCCTAGAATAAATGGTCAATGGATTAAAGTCTCTCCATTGAAGTCTGGCAACAGATAGGGCTATATATCCATGAATGAGGGGAACAAGCCCAGAAAACTTTGCCAGTCGAATAAAAAGGAAATAAATACTCACCCCCAGATTTTACCATATTTTTTATAACAGGCCATATCAAAATTGGATCTTCCCTGTAACAGAAACATTAAGGGTGAGTGTCAAAGGCAAAAACCACACTTGGTAGATCTGAGATCAACCGTCTTGCAATCATTCCTTGCCATAAAATTCCCAACACAGATTTGCAAATATCTCTAATCACCGATGATCAGGAATCGCTTACAACTAATCCCCAACTTACAACAGTTTGTCTCAGGGCTGTTCGAAATTACAACAGCACAGAAAAAAGCGACTTAGGACCGTGCTTCAGACTTATGACTGTTGCAGCATCCCCGCAATCACGTGATGAAAATTCAGACACTTGGCAACTGATTCATATTTATGATGTCGCAGGATCCTGAGGTCACGTGATCCCCTTTTGCAACCTTCTGACAAGCAAAATCAAGGGGGAAGCCAGATTCACTTAACAACCGTGTTACTCACTTAACAACTGAAGTCCCACTTTGGTCGTAAAGTGGGGTCAAACTCACCTAACAAATGTCTCACTTAGCAATAGAAATTTTGGATTCAGTTGTGGTCGTAAGTCGAGGATTATCTGTGTATTCAGAGTGGTTGGGTAGACTAGTGAGCTTTGCGAATGGAACAGGGTTCGCAAAGCTGAAATAATGACAATATTAAACTGAAGCAGTTTACCAACTTGTTTGCTTAGGTAATAGGTTTTTCACACACACACACAAACAAGAATTTAAAGCCTGTTTCTTGCCAAGCTCAAATATACAAGCAGCTGTGTTATTTATTGCTTTCTGCTTTATAAGGTAAATTTCTCAGCCCTTGATTAGACTAAACTAGATTAAACTAGATGAAAACTGGGCGACAGAGAAATCGCAAGATTCCCTGCCTCTTTTTGATTCTAAAATCCGAGTCCTCGCCCAAACCAACCCCAGCACATTATGTCGGGATTCATTTTCAAATGTTTAGTGCTTATTCTCCAAAGCACCTGAGGGCAGGAGAAGAAGCAATGGGTGGAAGCTTCTTAAGGAGGGATCTATTCTAGAAATAAGGAGAAATTTCCTGACAGCGAGAACAATTCACCAGTGGGATGGCTGGTCTCCAGAAGTTGTGGGTGCTCCATCGCTGGAGGTTCTTAAGAATAATGGACAACCATATTGTTCTTAAGAATAATGGACAACCAATAATGGACAACCATTGGTCTGAAATGGTCTAGGGCAGGGGTAGGCAACCTTGGCTCTTTTATGACTCGTGGACTTCAACTCCCAGAATTCATGAGCCAGCTTGGCTGGCTCATGAATTCTGGGAGTTGAAGTCCACGAGTCATAAAAGAGCCAAGGTTGCCTAACCTGGTAGAGGGTCTCCTGCTTGAACAGGGGTTGGATTAGAAGACCTCCAAGGTCCGTCCCAATCCTAAGATTCTATCTTCTCTATGCCTCCTGCTGCATGAACAAGTTTTCTTGAACGGGTCCATGCAATATCTTAAAAACCCGAAGCCCTAAACCCCAGTTGGCAATCCTCTCTTCCATGACAAACCATAAAGATCTGAAGCCTTTCAGAAATCCGCTCTTGAAAACATGCCCATAAAAGCAAGCTGTAAACTTACATAACGAAACCCGAAGGCCGTACCGATGAATGGGAGAGGCATCGGGCCCGGGATGCCCAACTTCTTGAAGACTCCATAAGGCCAGACCCCGTATCTGTAAAAGGAGAACATATCTTTTTCAGGGTTCAGGAGAGTCTGGATAGGCTCATGTAGAATAACATACTTTGTGGAGTTAGAGATACTAATATTTGTTTACTTAAATCTGAATATTATCCTGGGATTAGGTTTGGGAAGTCCGGGGGGGTGGGGGGTTTTTCATATAGCATTGTGTAATATTTGTGATTTTTTTTTTTATGATGAAAAATAATAAAATTTTATATTGAAAAAAAAAAGGAGAGTCTGGATAGGGATAGTGAAGTGATGGGAGCAAGGAAAGATGTCTATCCCACCAGACTTGAACGGCCCCATTTAGTTGGATGGAATGCATGCATCTGTGCTCTTTGGGGACTCGAGGGACCCATGTGCAGCTCTGAAAGAACCGGGCAGAGAAACCAAAAGAGAACTTCCTATTTCTCTTCAGTGTGACCGTATAGATCAGGGGTGTCAAACTGCTGGCCCGCAGGCCGGATGCATCATGGCGAAACCGCGGCCACCCCATAGCCAGCAATGGAAAAAAAGTCGTGACACGTCACGTGACATTGCGAGTTTGACACCCCTAATATAAATAAATGAGAGATATGGGAGAGAACATACGGGCAGTCCTCAACTTACAACCACAATGGAGCCCAAAACTGATGTCGTTCAGTGAGACAATTTCTTAAGCGGGTTTTGCCCCGCTTTACGACTTTTCTCGCCACGGTGGCTAAGTAAATCCCTGCAGTTGTTCAGTTAATGACTCGGTTGTTGAGTGAAGCTGGCTTCCCCGTTGACTTTGCTCGGTGGAAGGTCGCAAACGGGGATCAGGTGATCCCGGGACACTGCAACCGTCACAAGTACATGCCAGTTGCCAAGCCTCTGGATTTTGATCACGTGACCCTGGGGAGGCTGCAATGGTCATAAGTGTGAAAAGTGGTCCTAAGTCACTTTTTGCAGTGCTGTTGTAACTTTGAACGGTCACTAAACGAACCGTTATAAGTCGAGAACGACCTGTATCTCGGCATCCTGACAGTCTAAAAATGCCAGTCTAAAAATGCAAAGCAATCAGTGTCCTGCTGAAATGGGGGGCAGGTAGTCCTCATTTTACGACCACAGTTTGGAAGCAGGTGACTTACACCTGATTTTACAACCTGTTTGGCCACTGTTTGACTTAACAACAGTGGCAAAACAGGTCGTAAAATCAGGTGTAAGTCGCTTAGCAGCCACCTGCTTCCCTGAAGTTTTTAAGCGAGTCCCGTGGCTGTTAAGCAAATTTGTTGTAATTCAGATAGTGGCTAAACAAATGGTTCTAAATCAAGGACTCTGTGCCGTTGCATCGGGAACCTTCATGGGTATTGGATTTAAATGTGGGATATTGCCAATTTAACCCTCGGCGGTGATTGCATCACAACGCAGGAAGGAGACACTATCTATTTTAGTTCTGCAATCTGCAAACAGATCAATGCACCGCTAAGAGCAGGAAAAAAAGCTCCACTTTGGTTTCTGCAGATTTTTTTTTTTAAAGTTACCTTCTGTTTGAAAGAAATTAGCTTAGCTGTTAAAAAATGACAACATTTCTCTCCCCCCCCCTTAATAAACAGAACACAAGATTGAAACGCAAGATCTCCCAAAATCTTTGCCAGAGGCGGTCAAACATGTTCATGTTAACTCAGGAATTAAGCATTTAATCTTGCAGCATCTTCCTCCATATATATATATATTTGTGTGTGTGTGTGTGTGTCCACGCTCACAGCATCTTCCTCCATTTCTTTCTCCCATAATGACTTTGTAAAACTGTTTAATAAGCACTGGCCGTTGATAAGCGGGGGATGCTGCTGCTTTTGCAGAAATCTTCAGAGAGAGATAACCTCAAGGTAAAAGCAATCATTTCATAAAGAAATGGAGGCCCAGACTAGCAAGAAGCCTTAAAAGCTTGAGCAAAAAATCAATTTTTTTAAAAAAGAAAGACAAGTTTTCTTTTAGACCTTCTACCAGCTCAAGGCAAAAAGCAAAGTGGGGAGAAGAGAGAAATAAAAATGCAACTTAAGACATATTTACTGCTGAGAAATCAGAGCTGAGCTGGCTTTTCTGGCAAAAGGTCCTGTAGATATCCATTCTGGGAAGTTCTTTTCTTTCGATCTGAACTACTTCCTGGTTCTTTATCTTTTCTACTTGATTTTTAGGTACCGTAGATCACGCGTGTAGGGTAGATGGACTCAGTGATGTGTGGTGGAGGATCTAAAGGACTAGGCTGTGGTCACCAAAGATCAAAGGCTTTTTGATAAGACCATCTAGTAGACGTCAGGCTACACTCAAGAACCTAACAGGCCAGACTCTGCTCAGCTTCCAAGCCCACCTTTGTAAATAAATGTGTTTTCTTTCACAATTCAAATTTTTAAACACCTTGTGGAATATTTGGGGAGCCAGGAATGATGCTGAAGCAATAAATAGGCTTCTGTAGAAGTCTATGGTTTCACCAATGGTAGATCAGGTCAACTGGAATATGCAAAGATTGCCTTCCTCTCTCTCCATAGTAAAAAAAAAAAATAGGTGGCATAGACAAAATAAGTGTGTGGAATTTGACTCTAGCTCAACAATAAAGCTGTGCAATCCTATTTCAATCTTGGACATGTTCAATTAAAGCTAGGAAAGATTTCTGCTTGAGACCCAGATATGTTGACCAGATCAGTTAAGACAAGCCAGCAGCTTCCTATAACTCAGTAGACTATCACCCACAAGATTTTATTGATTGATTTGCGGGACATGAGGAGCGAACAAGGCTGAAATTCATGCAGGCAGAGGAAGATGGAACATCATGTTTTACTTACAACATCAGAAGGCCAAGGAATAAAATCAGAAGTGCCCAAGTCTCTAGTGAGAAATATGGAAGGTGATCCATCCTGGATTTTGGGGACCTTGAGTTTCTCCTTCTGCTTTTGGAAAGATTGATGGTTCGAGGGAAAATGTTGTCAGAAAGTACTACAGGTTTAAATCGTTGAGAATTGTTGTTCCTACCTGCTTTCAAATCAAGAGTATGTGAATTAGGCATGAAAGGAGTACTTAGTTAATGAACAGGAGGTGGAGTATAGCCAGAATAGGAGAAACTCAATTGTCCAATCATGGTTCACGTAAGCCAATTTTAAACTCTGGAGGTGAAAAGGTCTTGAAAATAATTGATCAAGCTAACCTTTGAAAAGAATGAAGGAAAAAAAAGAATAAGATAAACTGGGTTTAAAGTCACATTAATCTGTAAAACCAACAACGTTACCAAATTCCTTCCAAGCCTCAATAGGAGTTTATGATTGTCAAAGATTGCAACCAGCCAACAAAGCAGAATTACATGAAATAACAGTTGAACAGCAATAATGTCAACAATATCTATAAAATACATAAAATATTGATATTAAGAAGCCAGCGCCAGGAGCTGAGAAGTTTTACCTGCTGCTGCACAAAAACTTGACAATATTGAAGTTACTGAATATAAAATAATTTTTCCAAATTCTGGACTCTCAGAGTAGACAGCCATGGAGAAGACTAGGCAGAAATGTTCCGTAATAATTACACATATTGGATTCAAGTTTCTTCTTCTTGTGTTGGAAAATATCTCTATGTCACTGCCATACCGTCTTTCTCCAGGAAGGAAATGGTAATATTGGTGTTTTAAAACTATATCTTGGTCTAGTGGTTAAGGCACCTGGCTAGAAATGGGTTCATGAAAGGCATGAAAGCCAGCTGGGTGACTTTGGGCCAATCGCCAGGAGATGGTGAGTTCTAGTCCTGCCTTAGCCATAAAAGCCAGCTGGGTGACTTTGGGCCAATTGCCAGGAGACGGTGAGTTCTAGTCCTGCCTTAGCCATAAAAATCAACTGGATGACTTTGGGCCAATCGCCAGGAGGCGGTGAGTTCTAGTTCTTCCTTAGCCATAAAAGCCAGCTGGGTTCTTTGGGCCAATTGCCAGGAGACGGTGGGTTCTAGTCCTGCCTTAGCCATAAAAATCAACTGGGTGACTTTGGGCCAATCGCAAGGAGACAGTGCATTCTAGTTCTTCCTTAGCCATAAAAGCCAGCTGGGTGACTTTGGGCCAATTGCCAGGAGACGGTGAGTTCTAGTTCTGCCTTAGCCATAAAAATCAACTGGGTGACTTTGGGCCAATCGCCAGGAGGCGGTGAGTTCTAGTCCTGCCTTAGCCATAAAAGCCAGCTGGGTGACTTTGGGCCAATCGCCAGGAGACGGTGCATTCTAGTTCTTCCTTAGTCATGAAAGCCAGCTGGTCACCTTGGGCCAGTCCCTTTCTCTCAGCCCAGCCCACCTCACAGAATTGTTATTGTGGGGGAAATAGGAGGGGGAAAGTGTATTGGATATGTTCACCGTTTTGTTTACAAAAATAATAAAAGCAGAGAAGAAACAAACAAAACAAATAATAAATTAATTAAAACCAGAAACCAATATTACCTGGGGGGGGGAGAGAGAGAGAGAGAGAGAGAGAGAGAGAGAGAGAGAGAGAGAGAGAGAGAGAGAGAGAGAGAGAGAGAGAGAGAGAGAGAGAGAGAGACATTGTGAAATGTGAAAAGCTGCATGCTGTATTGAAAGTACATCGTGTGCAATTTAACTCTAGCAAAACATGCTCATCTGATCAGCTCTTGGCCCTTTACTCTTCTTGGATAAGAATTCTGGATCTCTGCCATCTTCCTGGTGGAAAGTGGGCTGAGCACAGACTGTGACATTGTCAAGCAGCGTTCAGAGGAGTTCGTGCCAGAAAAAAAGGTCAAAGAATTATGAGTTAACAGCTCTGGGTCAGGAAAGTTTGTGTGATGCAAAGTAGAAATTCCTGACTGATTAGGAAAATGTTGATCCAACTGGAGAGCATGGAAGGTGCATCAGCTGATCCTTCTCACTCATTCAACCAGAAAAGAAATTGAAGTTTGATTCCAACATCCCATAATCCTGTTTAATTGAAAATGGCCATGTCTGGCCGGGCTAAAGGGGGAAATACCTTTGCTACTGTAAAATGGTGCCTTTTGAGCATAACAGGTGGTTAAATGTTTTTCCTTTGGAGTATGCGCTCCTTGTTCAGGTTGGTTATCTAGGAACAGTAAACTAATATTATTCAGCAATAAATAAAATAAAGCCAATGAATAACAGAATAATAGAGTTGGAGGGAAATTTGGAGGTCTTCTAGTCCAACCCCCTGCTCAGGCAGGAGACCCTATACCATTTCACACAGGTGGCTGTCCAGACCCTATACCGTTTCAGACAAATGGTTGTCCAGTCTCTTCTTAAAAACCTCCATGATGGAGCACTCACAACTTCTGGAGAGAAGCCGTTCTCCTGATTGATTGTTCTCAGTGTCAGGAAATTTCTCCTTAGTTCCAGGTTGCTTCTCTCTTTGATTATTTTCCATCCGTTGCTTCTTGTCCTACCTTCCGGCGCTTTGGAGAACAGGTGTCCCCCCTCTTCTTTGTGGCAGTCCCTGAGATATTGGGAGACTGCCATCATGTCTCTTATTTATGACTAATTATGAAGCTACTTTACTGGGAAAAGATTACAGATTACAGATATGAATTCCCAATTCTTGTTATTTTTTTCTGAATTAACTTAATAGCACCCACAACTTCTGGAGGCAACTTCTGTCCCACTGGATAATTGTTCTAACTGTCAGGAAATTTCTCCTTGTTTCTAGGTTGTTTCTCTCCCTGATTTGTTTCCAATGAAATTTTGAAAGCTCACCTTCTCCTATAGATTTTACAGTTATACTTATAAAAGTTATTGTGTGTCCATTTTTGGCTGTAATGGTGTTAAGCTTTTATTGTTTGCTATGTTTTCTACTTGTGATAGTGTTAACCACTCCAGACCGGTTTGACCAAGAGCGAGTGGACTATTCAGTGGTATGTAAGTAAATAAATAGATTTAAGGTGCAGCTATGTTTGGAACATTATAACTCTTCTACATCTTAGTTAGTCCCATAAAATTATTTCTCTCCTGAGCACATGGGGAACCAATGTCTTGTGCAGAAAAAATGAAACTGTGCAGCAGAACGCAAGACCCAGGGGTGTCAAAAGCTCCTGTTTTAGCCTGGTTTTCTGCAACTTTGGACTGTCTTTCTCCAAAAGTTGCTCCAGGGGTTGGAACTGTAGTTCCTATCTATCTTGAAGACCCCAAGAAGCACAATCATTTTGAACAGAAAGAAGAATTTTGTGTATTTGAATGAGTTGAACTCAAAGAATGAACCAGTAGAAGGTCTAGGTTAGAGATGAAATGTGTTCAGAACATCTGCTTCTGGGCACAAGTATTTCAGAGAATTAGAAATAGTACATTGTTTTTTGGCACATGGGTGGATGTTCTGGTGACAGATAGATAACCTGCTGAGTGACCCACAAAAGAATATCATCCAACAACTATTTAGCAACCCAATTTTTGTGGTAGGACACATCATCGTTCTTTCTCTCTTACCTCCTGTGAATGTCTATAATTTCTAAATTTATATTCCACAATTGCAGTCTAACTTTTGTGATATTTGTACATGTATTAGCGGATAAAGTAAAGACATCTAATACAGTTTTTCCAAAACACCATCAAAGGTAGGAGCTAAAAGTGGGATAAAGACAGATTTGGAGCAAATTTACTTCTTAGTAGATCTGAAATCATAAATGCAGCTAAAAACATGTTCAACTCTTCTTGAAAAATAGGACCTTTTTAAAAAAATAAAAAAAATAAAACCAGGTTCCTAAAGTTAACTGTATAGAAGCCATTGCTGTAGAATTTGGAAGTCACTGTGAAGAATATATTTATTTATTTATTTATTTATTTATTTATTTATTTATTTATTTATCAAGTTTATATTCTTCCTCTGCCAAATTTCAGATAGCAATGGGAGTCAAGAGGAGTTGACAAGATGGGAATCTTATCCAGGAAGGGACACTGGAATCAGGCGAAGGTCAAAAAAGGCAAGATGGAAGCTGCAACTGTACAATGCCTTCATGCATCACAGATACTACATATCCCCAACACCCAGCTTAGAATGATACCCAACAGTCTGAAGAGTTTCTAGCTATTTGTGTCGTGGTTTAGCTAAAGGCAGAATTGCACAAAACAAAAATAAGGTATTGGTCCTAGTCTATAGCTTTTTAAGACATTTTTAAGACACTAATTACCTACTTATATCTGACAAGTATAAGTCACAGATGAAGTGTTGGGATGAAGAAGGTAGGATTGTAAATAAAAATGTTCCTTCGAAGCAGAAGGAGGACAAACATTGGCTCTGGACTTATGTCTTCTCCATGGGTTGGAGCAACCAAGATTCAGCATGGATAAGATGTTCCTTGAAGCCAATGTTTCCCCCTTGTAAGGTTTTATTATATCATTATTATTGTGACTGTAGTTATTACTTTTTTCAGACTTCACAAAAGGTTAGCAGAGTTTCTTCTGAGATGATGCAACTAGTAAGTGATATTCCTTTCTCTAATATCCTTTCTATCATTCTGTAGGCGTTCTCATCAAGACTGCTACTTGCCATAGTAGCAATCCTTTGGTATGTGTGTGTAAAGTAAACAGATAATGGATATGTAATCTCTTTATCTCTGCCTGTCCTTCATCTAACTTGGCATGCAAAGTTGCGTAGAGTAGTTTTAAGGTCCAGTGAGTCAGTGCCTTGAGTTTCTCTTGTCAACATATTTGCGTAGACAAAGAGTTCAGCAAAGTTCAGGAATGGAGACAAGGCTTCTGAAGCCACCTGGACAAGCAAGGTGACTGCCAACTGTGAGTTTAGTCTGAATTAAAGCCACCACGGAGGGCCACAAAAGGACTTTAGATCCCTGCCTTGAACTTCCAAAATTGCTTGAGCAAAAAGTAAAGTTCCAGACACTGAGCATCTTTGTTTAATCTATCAAATCTCATTCTTCATGAAATGTCATGTTCTTCCTGAGTCAGAGATCATGGGAATTTGCATTCCAAGCACATCTGGGGATATCAGCTTGGAGAAGTTTGATTAAGGAGAAGCATTTGAAGTACAAGTGATCTTCAATGTTGGATGGAGGCAGTAGGGTAAACGTCAATGAAATCTGGAGAATGTACAAATCTTAACTTTTGGATCTTGTCAAAGGAAGACAGGAAGACACAAATCTGGGATGGTATCCAAGCAAGAACTCTCTTCTGAAGGATGGCTGTTGCATTTCTTACATTGTTTTTTATTTCTTTCATTCATTCATTCGATCTAGAAGATCATCCAACTCCAGTATGACTCTGGATGGCTTCTGGAGTTAAAAATTGAAAAACAATCAAAGGAGAAAAATACATGAGCTCCCTCTCTGTTGTGCAATATTTCTCAACCTTGGCAACTTTAAAGAGCGGTGGACTTCTGCTCCAAGAATTCCCACCTGGCTGGCTGGGGAATTCTGGGAGTTGAAGTCCACCCCTCTCCAAGTTGCCAAGGTTGAGAAACCCTGCTCTCGTGAGACATTCAAATAAATAATGTGCAAGTATTACAGCCATTGATAGGGTTGTAATTCTTCCTAACTCTAATTTGATCCTCAACCAAAACTAGGAGTCTTTGAAATCTTGGGCAATGGATGCTTACTCAGTCTCCAAAATTAAGGAACTGTTTCGCTAGGTGTGCCATCAATGAATTCTCAGAAATTAAAATAGGTTTCATAACATCCTTGTTCAAGTTGTAACATATTGTTTTTCTATTTTAAAATTCCCTCCTGGGTTGTACATATTACCAGCTGGGATAAACAGTATGAAAATTTAATAGTTAATAATTATATATTTTAGCTATGTCTGCCTCGAGACAGCCTGCATATCAGACTTATATCTGAACACAGATGGGATTCAAGGACGTCTGTCTGTCAGTCAATCAATCAATCAAAGAAGCTCAACTGAACAGAGAGGAATTGATTTGTTGGATAGGATCGCACCTTGAAAAACCAACATTTTAGAATTTGTACTCAACCTTTGAAGGAAATAAGCTCATTTTGAGAAAATTGGCTACATTTGAGGAGATGCTAAAGTTGACAGCGTCAACATCTTCCACCAGTGTGATTTGTGAACACGGCTGTGAACATTACTGATCATGATTTATCCAAGCAAAACTAGCCAACTGTGGTAGGTTCAACAAAGCTTAAACAAATCGTGGCTCACCACAATATTTTGAAACCAGTCACAACTCTACCTTCACTTATCACTTACTCACTTCTTAATATTTCCTAATTAGATTACAGCAATGTGTTCTCCACAGCGCTGCCAGTCAAGATGGTTAGGAAGTAACAGTTCAAGACTGCTGATCAGGTCTAGATTCTATAATGAGATTGTATTTCCTCAACAAATTCAATCTCTTCCAAGTTTGTTTCCAGGCCCAGTTCAAAAGGCTTCTGCCCAACTCTTGGCTCATTGTAAGGACTCCACAGACTGATAGTGTTTAGAAAATTGAACTCGGTGTTTTACACACGTCTTACTTAATCTGCTAAATCGTGGTGATTCCTAAGAGACCTGAGATGTTGTTTAAATTGGACATGCACAATAGGGCTGCCTCTGTCTCTATAATACATTTGTAATGCTTTGCGAGAAGAAGTCAAAGTTGCGTATAGGTGAACGAACGCCTTCCTTTTTGATACTCCAGCTTGCCGCGCAAGGACAATGTTGAATGCATTATCCTCGCTTGAGTAACCATCTCTGACTCCAAACAGAACAGTCCTTCCCCTTTGATGCTAGTAATTAATCTGCTAGTTATTTTTCGGGGATCTACGTTGCTGCCTTTACTGAAGCACAGATTCCCCGATTTGGTTCCATTGCAAAGTGAAGTTGGGGAGGCTGGAAATTTTATTTATTCTATGTATATCCTGCCATTATTATTTTTACAGATCCAACGCACCTTTCTCCTTCTATTTTCTGCACAACAACTTTGTGAGGTGGGTTGAGCTGAGAGAGGCGGACTGGCTCAAGGTCATTCAGCTGACTTGGATGCCTAAGGAGGGACTAGAACTCACCGTCTCCTGGTGATTGGCCCAAAGCCACCCAGCTGGATTTCATGGCTAAGGTGGGACTAGAACACACCGTCTCCTGGTGATTGGCCCAAAGCCACCCAGCTGGCTTTCATGGCTAAGGCGGGACTAGAACACACCGTCTCCTGGTGATTGGCCCAAAGCCATCCAGCTGGCTTTCATGGCTAAGGCGGGACTAGAACTCACAATCTATCTAACTGTCTCCATCTAAAGTGGGACTAGAACTCACACTCTCCCAGTTTTGAACCTGGTACCCCTTAACCACTAGGCCAAAATATTGTCTCCATCAAGTCACTGGGCTCATTCCTTGATGCCCCAAAGAATGAGTTGACGATGTTGGGCATGGGTAAGGTAGGTCTGTTTTGGCAACATCTGGAGGAAAGCTATGAAGATAGAACTATCTCTTAGAATGCAGCGCCATAAAGGATACAAGAAAGGTTGATAATTTTCAAAGCAATCCAGATGGGGTGTTCTAATGTAGGAGAGCTCTGGTCAGTGCAGGTAATGCAGCAGCTTGGCAAAATGAAGCAGGGTTTGCAAGCCAAGAAAAGAAAGAATAGGATCAAGACTTCTAAAGTTACTTTATTTGTGGGGTCCTTGGTGCTCTCTGAGCTTGGTTGTTTTCTTGTATTCATGACCCAACTAGAGAACATCATCAGTGCTAGAAGGAAATGGAGTTTGTGGAGAGGAGGAGGAGGAGGACTGTGGGGTCCCTGGTGCTCTCTGAGTTTGGCTCTTTTCTTGCAGACATTTCATTACTCAACTAGGGAACATTATCAGTGCTAGAATGGAGTGGGGATTTATCTCTGTTTATATACAAGTGGCTTGCCCTGTCAGTGTTGGTGGGAGTTTCTTGGTGATTCTTTGATTAGGCTGTGGTTTACTGTTTGATTGTTTGTCTGAATTGGTAGTTCCTTGGTTGGGGCATTGTATGATTGGGTATTGCATTCTGGGTCTTTCTGTTGCCTCTAGCAGCATGGCAACATGTTACTCTCATTTACCCTTCTTGATTGTTCTAAAGCCGTCTTTCTCAACCTCAGCAACTTCAAGTTATGTGGACTTCAATCGCCAACATTTCCCCAGCAAACACTGCTTGAAAAAGTTCTGGAGACCGCAGATTCTGCATTATTGGTTATTCTACTTTATTACCCACTTCTGAGAATACAAATTCTTCCAAAAGCACTAGCAAAAGTTTTTCCTCTGTGCAACCTGTCTTTTGCCCACATTAAAAATTTACCTTTCCACTAAGGCAACTCAAGAAGAACAAGACAAAGGGAAAGAAAGTGAAAAAAACATCCTTTATTTATCTCGTATGTCTATATTTTACATGCTTGCTTCTTTTTGAAAATAGGTATTTTCTGCCAAGAACAGCAAGGAGGGATGGCTAATTATAAAAAAAATACAATAGAATGCAAACCAAGCCATTTAATAATTAGTTAAAAGCCCATTAAAATTCATCCATGTTGCAGACTCCATCCAATTAAAGCCTGTTTCAAGACTCTCCAAGGTTGGATGAGGTCAATTTTACATATTAATGGATATCAGTGGATATCAGAGAGAAAAAAATCATTTGACATTTCTTGGTGGAAAGTTCCAAATTCTGATGGTGATAAGAACAATCCAATTCATGTACATGTGAGGTCTGGATTTGCTAACTGGATTCATCACCGGCTTAATTTATAGTTCAAGAATGTTCAAAATATCAAGTTATACATCATCATTAACATCAACAACTAATATTAACATCTCCCCCACCTATTAAGTGCATTGTTATGATTTCAACCTTATAAGAGCCACTTAAAGCAAACAGGTCCATCTCTCCAAAGCTATTTAGTGAATATTTCAATGGTTTTCTTCCAAGCTTCTGCAGAAGACAAAACCCCGAACTGTAAAATCCACTGCAGGGATGATACAGCCATGGCTTATCTTTATTCCTCACTTTCTCAACTGTCTGATCGTGGGACTAACTTCAGAACGATTGGTTTCTCCGGGACTAAGAAAGCTTGGTTGCTCATCACCAGCGGAATCTGCAGAAGAGGGAGAGGCAGAGAAAGAAGAAGTCAGCCAACAGGATAACCCAACTCAACTTCCAGATTCACCAAATCGAAAATCGCAGCAAAAGGTCAGTTAGGGCCTTTCCAGGTCTAAATAGAACCATGGAACACAACCTCATTCCTGCTTCAGCAGGGAGTTGGACTAGAAGATCTCCAATAGAAGACCTCTTCTATTATTTCTGTTATTTGGAGATATCCATTGATATCCAACACCTTTCAGAAGTTTCAGGATACTAGACCAGGGGTAGTCAACCTTGGCTCTTTTATGACTGGTGGACTTCAACTCCCAGAATTCCTGAGTCAGCCACGCTGAGGGGAAAGGGAGAGGTTTCCAAGCTGAGCCAGGCTGGCTCAGGAATTCTGGGAGTTGAAGTCCACGAGTCATAAAGCGACCTACGCCTAGGCCAGAGGTAGGCAACCTTGGCTCTTTTATGACTCGTGGATTTGAACTCCCAGAATTCCTGAGCCAGCCACGCTGAGGGGAAAGGGAGAGGTTTCCAAGCTTAGTCATGCTGGCTCAGGGATTCTGGGAGTTGAAGTCCACCAGTCATAAAAGAGCCAAGGTTGCCTACCCCTGTACTAGACAAAGAAGGGCCCAGGCTCAAGGTGTAAAAGAGTTCTGTTGAAGGGCTGCTCCTGTAGAAATCTCTGATCTAAGTGGCTACCCCTTTTCAGAAGACAGGGAAAAAAAATCTCCCGTAGTCTTCCAGTATTTCAGAGGCTGCCACAAAGAAGTGGGGGCTGCCCTAATCTGCAAAGCACTTCCAAGAAGCAATGGGTGGAAACTGACCAAGGAAAGAACCAACTTAGAACTAAGGAGAAATGTCCTGATGGTGAAAAAACAATTAACCAGTGGAACGGCTTTCCACCAGAGGTTGTGGGTGCTCCATCACTGGGTGTTTTTCAAGAAGAGCCTGGGCAATTAATTGTCTAACATTGCAGTGAAATGGTAATAGGTTTCCTGCTTGAGCGGGGGGGTGGGGGGGTTGGACTAGAAGACCTCCAAGGTCCCTTCCAACTCTGTTATTCTGTTAACAGATCTATTCCAAATCTTTCTCACCAAGAAACAACGGATGGAAACTGACCAAGGAAAGAACCAACTTAGAACTAAGGAGAAATTTCCTGATGGTGGAAACAATTAACCAGTGGAACGGCTTTCCACCAGAGGTTGTGGGTGCTCCATCACTGGGTGTTTTTTAAGAAGAGCCTGGGCAATCAATTGTCTGAAATTGCAATGAAATGGTAATAGGTTTCCTGCTTGAGCGGGGGGGGGGGGTTGGACTAGAAGACCTCCAAGGTCCCTTCCAACTCTGTTATTCTGTTAACAGATCTATTCCAAATCTTTCTCACCGGTGTTTCTTTGCAGACTCTAAAGGAGAAGTGCTGCATAATGATGGCGATTGCAACTTTCATGGAGACCAGTGCAAATCTCATTCCGAGGCAGTTCCGGGGCCCAGCTCCAAAGGGCAGGTATGTGTAGGGATCGATGTTTTCTTTGTTTTCTTTGCTGAACCTGGGTGAACCGAGGAAGGAAAGAATGTCAGGAACTGTAAGAAGGCGCTAGGACCTCCCCACGTGTGAATGGGGCCTGGGCATGGCTTAACAATGTCTTACCCCACTACGTAGATTCACTGGAAATGCAACACCCCAAACAGGCAAACGTTTTGACTGAGTGCATCATGTGAGCTCAGAATTAATACACTAGGGATTCCGTCCTGTGGCCAATCCAATAGCCACCCTTATCTCGGGTGCATAGAATCAAAACCATAAGTTGCAGTTCAAAAGATGTATTGCTCTAGCTCAAACACAAGAATTTAGTCAACTAAAGTTCAATAGCAAATTGGCACCAGATAAGGGTCAATGGAATTCAAGAGTGGTTGGATTTTGATCACTTGTGCCAAAGTTCATGCCACAGGAACAACTCCAAACAAAAGCCCAAGAAGGTATTAAAAACCCACCATTCCCTGCTACATGTGGGCAGCTTTCCCACAGCCATCTTTCTGTCTGGCTCTGCTCTTCAGTAAACTGCAACCTTATTTCTAAAGCAGTCTCCATTTTGTTTATTCCCAGCTTGGATTGGACCCTGATGAAGATTTTTCTTTCTACACTACCTCTCAGGTCTGAACTCTTCCGGTTCCGGCCAGTATTCGGGGACCCGATGAAGAACGAGGGGTGGGATCATCACTACGGTGCCTTTGGGAATGGTCATCCCATTGATTTCAACATCCGTCTTGGAGAGTCTTTCAATACGCCCTCCGAGGGGATATACTCTCTGGGTTTCGTTCAGCACCATGTCAAGGTATTCCAGCTGCATGATGGCATCGTAGGTAAGCGGTGCCTGGAGGGGAGGGAGATAATTAAAATAATTAATTTCACATCCAGTCCACTTTTTCTCTCACAGATAGAGGCAAAGGTCTCCCTTCCCATTTCTACGGAAGCAGAATAACCAAGTTGGAAGAGACCTTGGAGGTCTTCTAGTCCAACCCCCTGCTCAAGCAGGAATGTTGGCTCCTTGTGGGTCAAAATAGGCTAACAGAATTTCCTAACATTAAACTGGTTTCTGCATTAACGCCACGATTCTGTGTCTTGCAGGTCGGATAACAGAGTCGTGGACTTCTCCTCGCATCATTAATTCAATAATTCAGATATTATTACTGCTTTTAAGCCATCCAAGCAAAGTGAAATGAATTCACTGTGCCGAACTGCAGACCTATGAGTTAACAATCACCACACTCTTTACCTTGTTAGGTAAGACAGTATCTATTTCCTCTTGAAGCTTCTTCTGAATGTCTGGGTGAGTGGCTAAGCTGTAGGCCATGTAACCAAGGGAATTACTGGTGGGTTCATATCCAGCAAAAACGAAGATAAAAGCCTGGGCTAAAATTTCTTTATCAGTCAGGCCTGCAAAATAGAAATAAAAACAAATAGGGGGATACAGTACAGAAACTTTACTCTGGGCAATCATTATGAGTTTATACCAAGGATAATAATGGACCTTGCCTCGTACTGTTTTATGTACTTTGAAACACAGCTAAAAGGTGCCAAACCTCCTAGGGCTTCATAGAACAGCATTGATTGATGCTGACTCTGCTTTTAAAAAAAAATCACATATGCAGTCTTTTTTTTTGTTCTTTGAACCATCGTATTCTTGGAAAAGAACTTCTCGCTAGCATTCAAGATGGACTTTTGAGGTCCTGTTGATTGAAACTTGCAAGTTCTACTGGAAAAAAAAATCTTATCTTGCCAGGTTCCCATAGGTACAAGGTTCTTTAAAAAAAATGTTATGCTAAGTTGTGGAAATTAATATTGGACCTACTCCAGGTACGTGGTTATCCTGAGAAAAATCCATCTATGGAGTTGTTAAAAATTGATATTGACTTGATGACACGTAGTCAGTCAGGTATGTGAACTCTGAATACCAACGTTGGCTACTGTATTGAGATGCTGGGACTTTAGCAAGTTACTTCCAGTGAGCCCCATCACATATTTCTTGGCGGTTTACAACCATAATTTATGAGAGCAGGGCTCCAATAACTAAGGAGCTGTCACAAAGAAGAGGGGGTCAGCCTATTCTCCAAAGTGCCTGAAGGCAGGACAAGAAACAATGGGTGGAAACTAATCAAGGAGAGAAGCAACCTAGAACTAAGGAGAAATTTCCTGACAGTGAGAACAATTAACCAGTGGAACAACTTGCCTCCAGAAGTTGTGGGTGCTCCATCACTGGAGCTTTTCAAGAAGGGATTGGACAATCATTTGTCTGGAAAGGTATAGGGTCTCCTGCTTGAGCAGGGGGTTGGACTAGAAGACTTCCAAGGTCCCTTCCAGATCAATTCTTCTGTTATGAGCGGGATAGCTAGGACTTATCAACCAATCAATAGAAATGCACCACAAGACTTAGAAAATGTATAATGCTAAACAGGAACGGGGCGGTATTACCTTTATATGAGTGTGCCAGTCCGTTGCTTGTAGAGTTTTTGTTATTATTTTCAGAGTTCTTGTTCTTTTGGGATTCAATCATCATCTGGAGGAAATCCATACGGCTCTGGAGATCAAATGAATGCACCAATGAAAACAGAAGCTCAAGATCCCTCGGGTGTCAATAAGCATGAGGGGAATGGAGGAAGGGACAAAATACAACTGGTCCTTGACATAAACCCGTCACAACAGCACTGATAAAAGTATGACTGTTTTTCACACACGACCGTTGCAGCATCCATTCATGGTCACGTGTTCAAAATTCAGCTGCTTAGCAACTGGCATGTACTTGTGACGATTGCAGCATCCCATGGGGGGGTCATCTGATCCCCTTTTGCAACCTTCTGACCAGCAAAGTCCATGGGGAATCCAGATTCACTTCACAACCCTGTGACTCATTTAACAGCTGCAGTGACTCACTTAACAACAGTGGCAGGAAAGGTCGTAAAATGGGGCAAAACTCGCTCAAAGACCATCTCGCTTAGCAAGCAAAATGTTGGGCTCAGATTTGGTCATGAAGTCGAGGACTGCCTGTTTCATGCACACACATTCCTTTTATTGGAGAACATTTTGGACAGTTTTTTCCTCGTCCGAGTTTCAGCAGAATCTTAGTACTCACCCCCTGTCCTTCCTTCAGTCGTGATTCCTTCATTTTTATAAAAGATTTGGAGAAGAAGTTCAGAGCTGCTTTCGGAAAAGCGGTGAGGTCCAATGCACTCAAAATTGGCATGAGTGCGGGGAACATAACTGAAAAAGAAATTAATTGTGAAAAACACAGCCATATCCCTGGAGGAAAACATTATTTTATTACACACTTGTTTTTTTCCTTCAAAAGTATCCAAGGTGAGCAACGAATAAACATTAACAAGATTTACTGAAAAGGCCAGCGTCTGCAAACGCCACTGGCCACTTTGCAGGTGCATTAAGAGTCTCCGGATTACGCAAAAAAATGCATCCTCTTCTATGAAAATACAGTGTAAAGGTTGTGTTTGTATCGCAGCAAGAGAAAACTCAAAGCAGTGTCATTATCCGTCATTAATTGGGAGCAGGTGCCTTGCAATCTGAAGTTCATACCTGCTGTTCAGTTTAATTTCATTTTCAAAAGCTCTCTGCAAAAGATCAGTCCAAGCTGATCAGGAAAGGGAAAGAGAAACAGTGACAGAGACAGAGGTGGACGAAAAGAGGCGTCCACTCATTTTTGACTCCGATTAGAGACGTCTATAGAGCAACAAAACTACATTGCACCAAAGATACACCCCTTTGGGCTCTGCATGTAACCCCATCTCAGTCACACCATCTTCTGTGAGTAGATTGCAATCAAGAGGGAGCATCTCCCAGGAGAAGAAAGATTTCCCATCTCTCATCTCAAACGCAACAGGAGGTCCTACCTAGAGGATGAAACTCAGAGGACAGATTCCTATGGACGAGTTAGGGAAGCCTTCCCTGGATTCCAGAAATCAGAACTTACATGCAGCAATGATCCGTGGATCGAAAGCTCTGAATTTGGTGAGCCTCTTGATCTGCTTGACAAAAGGATCTTTGGGGTTGTTCATGGAATTGATGTCTACGCCGAATGAAGTGCTGGTGACCACATCCATGCTGTAGGCGCCGAAGACGCTAAGAAGAGAAAGGAGAATAACAGATGATCCAAGCTGCAGGTGTTCGGTGACAAAGGTTTAGGAAATGGCTGTAAAGCCAGACAGAAGATACATCAAAACATGGGTAGCCCACACAGAAATCCACAGCTTCCTGATGGGCTTGGTTTGTTTAAACATCAGTTTCAGCTCTTGAAATCCCCAAACACATCTGGAGCACGTCAAGTTGAAGAACATAGGCCTGATGTCACCAGCAGCAACGTTCCAGGGTCTTGGACTGTAGCCTGACCCCGAATTGAACTGAGACATTCAACATATAAGGCCAGTTGTTGCAATTTGTTTAATATTTTGTAGGCTGCAATTGGCTTGATGTCTTTGCTTTCCAGCTCAGGGGTCCAGGCTCATCCTCCATAGAGACTTTGGGCAAATATATCACATTTGGTTCCTATCATTTCTCAGTTTCTCTATTTCTGATCTTTACAGATATGTCAGTGTTGAGATAGAGATAGAGATAGAGATAGAGATAGAGATAGAGATAGAGATAGAGATAGATAGAGATAGAGATAGAGATAGAGATAGAGATAGAGATAGAGATAGAGATAGAGATAGAGATAGAGATAGAGATAGAGATAGAGATAGAGATAGAGATGAGATAGAGATAGAGACAGAGACAGAGACAGAGACAGAGATAGAGATAGAGACTGGATGGGAGAGAGCTATGATAGATGATTAGAGAGAGAGAGAGAGAGACAGACAGACAGACAGACAGACAGACAGAGAGACAGATAGACAGACAGAGAGACAGAGACAGAGACAGACAGAGAGACAGAGACAGAGACAGAGACAGAGAGACAGACAAGAAAAACAGAGATACTAAAATGTCTGTATTTTGGTGCACATTTCCTCAAGTTATATTTCTCCAAATCCCTACATTTTAATTTGCAATTTTCTCTAGTATAAATACACTGAGCATTTGCAAACAAACTCCATTAATATAATGCCTTTTTCTATGCATTTTTCTCCAGATTTGTCCCAAGCATTCTTTTGAACTCTGAAATGTATCACAACGGTACACATTTTCAAAGATAACCACATTTCACTCTGGATGTCGGTCGGTTAATGAGAAATGACTTTCAAATGTGACATAACTAAATCCATCTTTCCCACATCCCCACTTGTGACAGGGCTGGATGGTCTTCCTGCTCCACAGAACTTACTCTTTCACATCTATGGGCTCATCGTTTTCCATTTTCTTCTGAACATTTTGAATTAAAATCTCCCCGTAGTGTTTAATGATGGGAAACATCTGAAAAACAAACCCGTGGACACATTTTTAAACATTTATGGACAGTTCCCTTTCTTAGTTACTGATGTGTTCCAACAAAGCCTGTGGCTGATTCATAAATAATTACAAATTCAGCCGGGATGGAGATAGTGGCACTCTTTCTTAGGTTTGACATGTTCTGCAAAATTTATTTTTCTTTCTCCATGGGACATTTTAGGGCTGGAATGAACAGGGATCAATGTTTTTTGGATATCTGTTATGGCTTTTTGTAAAACTAAAATGTCATTTGAGAGGTATGGTCCTCACAGTCCATATTTACTCCTAAACAAATCTAGGATTGCACTGTAAATTCATCAGATGATTAGAAAAAAAACCCCCACAGATCTCCTAAATAAGCAATGTAGGGATCCTTCCTTCCTTCCTCCCTCCCTCCCTCCCTTCCAAAATTCAGCTCTAGTTTTGGGGTAGGAAATGAAGTTTAGAGGAAACTTCTTTGAAGAAAGAAATTGAGGAACTCATTAGAGAAAGTTCTCCATTCTTTTAAGGTTTTACTTGTTACCTCCTTCAGCTTCCCGCTGGTGAAAGTCGGAGAGAGTACAGTGCGAATCCTCTTCCATTGTTCGTCCTGGGTCATAGAGACTGCATTTTTTAAGATTTCTGGTGCGGGGAAAGCCTAGGGATCCGGAAGAAAAGATCAGAATATTCAGATTTCAAAAAATCAGCCTTGTCTGAAGAAACCTCTGGATGCAAGCATCACCAGATACCATGATAGTTGGGTGATAAATTCACCCATATTTTGGGGAGGTGAAGGCGTTTACCCCCTGCTCCCGATTAAAGTGGATGTAAGCAAACATCTCAATCCGGGCTCAATTTCATATGTTTCAAAACACGAGGGAAATAAAAACCCAGTTTTCTCCTCCCATCTTCTGATTTAAGACACAGACATTCATTTGGCTATCTGGGGGTTTAAGATGCAAGCCACTTACTCGCCGGTTGGTAAAAGTACTGTAGCATTCCTTCACTAAGACGGCCTTGATAACTGCAGAATCCAATACAGCAATAATAGGTTGACGGCCATCGTAAAGTCTGCATTCGGAAGAAAGAAACACACAGACATTCTGATGTTTGTTTGTTTTTAAAGAAGATATATATTCTCTGAGGTTATAGAGCAGGGGCCAAGTTTTCTACTTGGCCCCTGCTCTAGTTTGAGGAATAGATCTTCCATCATCCCCATCCAGCAATTTTGAAGAGGATGGGATGTGTAGACTGGTATTGCCGAAGCAATCCTGAGTTGGGAGAGCCTTACTGTGATGGTAGTGTCAACGCTGCAAATACTGTATATTCTTGCTTTGACAATATGCAGAACTGTCTGGCATTTTTATAGTTAAATCAGGCAACAGTGAAAGCCCGGGGAAAAAAGAAACCGGAAGTAAATCACATCTTCCAAGTTAATTGGAAGATGTGAACCATGACCCCAAAATACCGGCGGGGAAAAATGCCTGGAATGTATGTGCAACGGAAAAGAATCTCAGATCTAAGCATTTCCACCATGCCGTACTGACGTCTCTGTAACCTTAATAAATGCTTTTAGGAAAAAAATATGCCTGAAAGTCCTTTTAAGTGTTTCGTTAATCAGACACATGACAGGTAGTCTTTGTGGAGAATCTAAAACAGAATGACTGATAGTTATATGCTACAGAAAACTCTAGCAATCAGAAGAGACTACTTGCTGATGGGTTGTCAGCTATTCTTTTCCAGATGATGGGGTTGATGGAAATAACTTTTCTTCCCTATAGACAGCCACATGTGCCAATATTCCATTCAGTTGCCCAACTCTGAATAGAGTTCACTTAACTGGGATTCCATAGAGGAACTAAGTCATGTTGAAAAAACTAATTGAGTCATCAAATCGTATGGTTGCCACCTAGACAGAGAAGATGACAACATTCTGACCAAAGGCAAGATCAAACCACTTATTTCCCGTTGGCAAGAAGATTCCATGGATAAACATGTTGTCCATGACATAACCGAGAGAACAAATGATGCAAAGGATATTTACTAGTGGATTACACAACCTCCAATTCAACAGAGACAATTAGGGGACTGGAGGCCAAAACATATGAAGGATGGTTGCAGGAACTGGGCACGTCTAGTCTAGTGAAAAGAAGGACCAGGGGTGACATGATAGCAGTCTTCCAATGTCTCAGGGGCTGCCCCAAAGAAGAGGGAGTCAAGCTCTTCTCCAAAGCTCCTGAAGGCAGGACAAGAAGCAACGGATGGAAACTAATCAAGGAGAGAAGCAACCTGGGATTAAGAAGGAATTTCCCGAGAACAATTAATCAGTGGACCAGCTTGCCTCTGGAAGTCAAGGGTGTTCCATCACTGGAGGTTTTTAAGAAGAGATTTATCTGAAACAGTATAGGGTTTCCTGCTTGAGCAGGGGGTTGGACTAGAAGACCTCCAAGTTCCCTTCCGACTCTGTTATTCTGTTTTTCGCATGAATGAAAACAGGGAAATTTCTACCCTAGATCATTTCGTGAGCCCTCCCTTCCCTCCCTCCAACTTTTCATGGCTGTTTACAGTCTGGGCTTAGATCTGTTTACTTTCTAGGAAGGAGCTTCTCTGCTCTTTTAACAGCCAAGCGGATAATCTCCACGAAAAATCATATTTGAAAAGGGCAACTATTTGCTTTGTTGAAGCACCAGCAACAACCCATTCTTCTGCCCAGTAGCTTATCAACAGAAAGCCATTGTATTTAGCTATTGTACAGCCAGTCCAGCTTCCCCCCCCCCCCCTAGATAGATTAGTGCCGGGATGCATAGCTTTAAAGACATCAGAAGAAGCCGTGGAAAATCTCCAGCAAGGCTCCAAAGGGAAGGGAGGAACATCTGGATTTCTGTTTAATTCTATAATTTGGGACGGGGTAGCTATGAAAGAGAGACCCAAAGGTCCTTAGATTGCTAGAAGTTTATAAGCCTTTCTGTAGCTTTGTGAATATATGCATAATAAAGAAAAAGTGTAATTTCATTCAGAAATTTAGACTGCAACCCGAAGCAATTTGTTTTAGGAATAGATATTTTTATCAGGCTGATGAGAAGCAGAAACCAATTCAGAATCATCAAACCTGCTGATGAATATTCAATGTTGGTTTGTTTCTATTTTTATTTATTTGTCCTTCCTTGCTTCCTTCCTTCCTTCCTTCCTTCATTCATTCATTCATTCCTTCCTTCCTTCATTCATTCATCCATTCCTCTCTTTCTTTCTTTCTTTCTTTCTTTCTTTCTTTCTTTCTTTCTTTCTTTCTTTTTTCTCTCTTTTTCTCTTTCTTTCTTTCTTTCTTTCTTTCCTTCTTCCTTTCCTTCTTTCTTTCTTTTACCCTTTCTATCTGGGCCATGCTTAGTCTTCCTTAGATCTGGACTGAGAAATAGAAACTTGGAATAAATAGAGTGCTTACCTCCAGATCTTCCCGTATTTCTGGTAGCATTCGGTGTCAAACTTTATAAACCCCTGGGGAAAAAAGATGTTAAAGGTTTAGAGAAAATGCATCACACGAACTGCTCAGCTTGTTAACAGAGAATGCATATCCTGGGCTTAATTGTGATTTTGTGGGCTACACACATTGTGGTCTTTGTGGGCTTCTCCCTCCATCACAACAATAGTGTTAAAAATTACATTTCACATGATGGTCAATATTTTCTGTGTATTTTTACAGAGAACTGTGGGATACTAAATAATGTCTGCATTATTTTCTAATAATAATAATAATCAGCTGTGGCCAATTAATTATGACATTTTTGGCTGATCATCAGAGTTGCTAAATTTAACATTCACGCTACACCTCTAGGTTACCCAAAAAAAAAAAATTTAACGTTCAGAATTGGTGCATTGCTTGCCTGCTTTTTAATAAAAAGAAATCATTATTAACAGTCATGGAAACAAATGACACCTACTCCGTTTTTCTTCTTTCAGATTAAACAAAAATATTGTGTTTTTCATGGGCTCTAAGCACTGTGCCTTCTTTATCTCAAGCAGGGATGGGGAACAAGGGTCCCTTGATGACTTGTGGACTTCAACTCCCAGAATTTTGAGCCAGCATGTCTCAGGAACTCCACAAGTCATAAAAAAGGTCATCGTTCTCCACTCCTGCTCTAAAGGATGAGTTGGTCCTCTACGTATCTATGAATACTCACTTTGCGGTAATTCAAGACCGTCCCAAAGAAGGGCAATGGGGTTGGACCAGAAATCCCCAAATTGCTGAGAACTCGAAATGGCCAAACGCCATACCTGGAAAGAGAAAGACATGTGGTTCAAACAAAGCCAGGAGATGTTTGCTGAACCATGCTTTATTGAGTAAATCTTACTCGGATGGTTATGCCCTAAAATTTTAAAAAATAATAATAATCACCGTAGAGGTTCTTGGTGTTCTCTGAGCTTGGTTGTTTTCTTGCAGACATTTCATAACTAGGTAACAACATTAGCTGGTAGCTTCTTCAGTCTCAGCAAGTTGGTTGGGAGAACCTCAAATATGTCCTCCAGGGTGGTTTCATACAGCATTAGGCAAGAAGTCAAGTCACCCTGGAAGGCATATATGGGGTTCCCCTAACTAACTTGCTCAGACTGAAGAAGCTACTGAGATAAGCAGCAAAATGTTTCGAACCAACAGGAAAAGACAAGAAGCCCAGTTGCTATGACTCAACTTCCGGATGTAGCTGCTTATGGTACTCAGCATAGGAGGCAAAGAGGTTGATGGTGCAATTAGGTGCCACCCATTGATATCTCCTGCTCTCAGCCACCCTTTTCCGCATCTTAAAATAACTTAACTGAGATTTGTTGATATTTATCCAGGTAAATGACTCACCAACTTCCTTTTGCAAGCCTGGGTGAGATATTTTATAGATAGCTGAAATATCTTATCATCGATGTTTAAAAATATCTCCTTCTATATTGGGGTCCCGTGATTTGCTCTAAGTAGGGCTTTCTTTGAAAACAGCCTGGAGAACTCTTATCAATCCAGTTTCTAACCTGGATTGATAAAAGTATTCCTCACCTTGGTGTGGGTCAGAGAAAGTGACTTAGATGCAACCCCTCCTAAGAATTAATGGTGCACAGACAAGGTTTGAACGAGAAGCTTCAAGTTCTGAAGACACGTCTCTTAATGTCTACAATTAATTAAAAACATTCTGGATAGAAGATCAGACTTGATTCATTATCACAGTCTGTACTGGGATTCCTAGCTGCCCATCAACAAATAGTGCTGAGTGAGTTTACTCTTTGTAGACTGGTTACACCCATCCAACCTGTTACGTTAAAACTTTGGGGTCCTTGGTGGTCTCTGAGCTTGGTTGTTTTCTTGCAGACATTTCATTACCCAAAAAGGTAACATCATCAGGACTAGAATTTTGCTCAGATAGCATACCCAACTCCCTTTTAGCACTGGTGAGGTTACCTACTTGGGTTATGAAACGTCTGCAAGAAAACCACCAGGCTCAGAAAGCACCAAGGACCCCACAGTTCAACCCTGTGCTGCAGATATTCTCGACTTTGAAACTTTGGAGCAATGAGGAAAAAGAACAAGAAGGATCAGAAAGGAGGAAAGCAGAAGAACAGAAGGATACGTACAGCAGAAGAAGTCCCGTCAAAAGCACCAGCATGAACCATGTCTCCATGGATAAGGTAGGAAGAAGATCCATCGTGATTCTTGATTCTTTTGGCTGGGTGATTCTTCTATGAGCTTCAGTCCTTGAGTGGACAATTCTGAGACAGTCTTCTTCTCACAATGTCTTGGTTGTCCTTTGTCAGCCTTCTTATGACTGGAGATGTGAACCTGTCCTGATGGGACTTTCTGCTATATTTATCTGCAAAAGAGGAGGAGTCATCAGTGCTCCTCCTATTGATACACGATAGGCTGTGAACTCAGATTAACTTGCTTACCCTCTTATGAAAGAGCAATTCAGACCGGCTTTGTTAGCAAGAACATTATGTACTTCGAAACTTTTATTTTCCTTAACAAAATACAGAAACACATATCAGCATGTGCTTTGTTAAGTAATCACAGATAACTTCACTTAGGCCACCATCTATGAGCCTGCATCTAGGTGGTTTCGAGGACTGAAAGACCACAACATGGCTTTGGCAGGATGTGAAGCAAGATTGTTGATTCATGGAGTAAAATATTTGTACATCATTTCTTATATGTGTACACCCAAGGCAAGTTGTGACAAATCTATAAAGCAAATAGGTCAAGTCAAGTCCAACTTCAAAACATCTCCACTTCTTCTGATGTTAGAGGAAGTTGAGACGTTCTCAAGTTGGGCTCACTGGTAGTGACCATATCCATGTTATTCATAGCTTTGTGGGTCCCATTGCATTCTCCTGGCCTGAATTTTCAACTTCCCAAGAGTCCTGAGATTTCTAAGAAATTCCCAAAGGCAACATGGAAAGATATGTTTTCACAAAGTGCCTAAAATTAAGTTGTTCACATAGGAAGGGCCCCTAAAAGGGGATTGTTCTGTATTTGTAGCTCAAGGTTGAACTATGGGGTCCTTGGTGCTCCCTGAGCTTGGTGGTTTTCTTGTAGACTTTCATGGCCCAACTAGATAACATCATCAGTGCTAGAAGGGAGAGGAGGAGGAGAAAGAAGAGGAAGACTGTTGAGTACTTGGTGGTCTTGAGTTTGGTTGCTTTCTTGTAGACCAGGGGTAGTCAACCTTGGCTCTTTTATGACTCGTGGACTTCAACTCCCAGAATTCCTGAGCCAGCATGGCTGGCTTAGGAATTCTGGGAGTTGAAGTCCACGAGTCATAAAAGAGCCAAGGTTGACTACCCCTGTTGTAGACATTTCATGAGCCAATTAGCAAACATCATCAGTGCTAGAAGGAAGGAGGTTTATGGAGTGGAGGAAGAGGGAGGAGGAGGAAGAAGAGGAAGAGGAGGAAGAGGATGAGGACTGGGGCTCTTTGGTGTTGTCTGAACCTGATTGTTCTCTTGTAGACATTTCATGACCCAACTTGGTAACCTCATCAGCACTGCATTGCCAGCAACTTCCATAGATGATAGCAGAACTTTCATCAGATAACTAATTTTTACAAGTACCTTCTAGGATTCAGAGGCTGGATGACCAGGATGGTCTCCAAAGTATAGTCTATCACATTTTTTATGTAAGGGACAGAAGGAACATGACTGTCTCAGAGGTCCATCTTTAGACAATTAAATCCAGCATCTAGGATCATCTCGGTGCCCCCCCCCCCTTATTCTCATTTCAAGCTTTACACTAGAAATTCGGATCACTCCATATCAGACGTCGATGGGACTGGAAACGGGGAGATCTAGCTTGAGTGATCGCTCATCAGCCTTGGTGATTTGTAGCTTCTGACCTTCATCACAGCGGGATATAGACGGGAGTTCCTCACCCCCTCCTGCTTTTGGCTGAGACCTTCAAGTGCAAATCAATCAGGAGATTAGGGTGGAATAACCATGATATTCTAAAACAATGCTGTCACACGCAAATCGATGGCAAATGTTACTGTACTTCAGGATGTTCGGGGAAAGGACTGGAAAAAAAGTCAGATGGGACATGGAGTTTTATTGGGAAAGGTGTACATTTGTCTCTGGCACCAGACTTGTTTTGCATGCAAAGAAATTGCTCCCCATCAGCATTTAGTCACCCTTCGGGATTGCCCAAGCAAACTACACTCTCTGTTGTATTTGTTTTAGAGTCTCTCCTTCTCCTTCTCCTTCTCCTTCTCCTTCTCCTCCTTCTCCTTCTCCTCCTCCTCCTCCTCCTTCTCCTTCTCCTCCTCCTCCTCCTCCTCCTCCTCCTTCTCCTCCTCCTCCTCCTCCTCCTCCTTCTCCTCCTCCTCCTCCTCCTCCTTCTCCTTCTCCTTCTCCTTCTCCTCCTCCTCCTTCTCCTTGCAGACATTTCATTACCCAACTAGGTAACAACTGTGAGGTTTGTTATCCCTGCTCCCTACTCTACTGCCCCCCCTGCTCTACCTCCATTGTAAATTCCCTACCATCTTCCCATGCAGAATTTCTTCAAGGCATTGTGGGAAATTCAATGAGCATTGAATTTGAAATTCAGTGAGCATTGAACCCAAGGCTACAAGGGCCTATGCTGTTTTTCTCCACATCACCTTAAATCCAAACCTATCCTGGGTGGTAAAAGGGCCTGATGCTCATCCTTGAATGAAATGAAATCCCAAACTGAAATAATTAAATTGGGTTTCTGTATTCTTGGGGCGTGTTTTTTTTTTCCCCCAATTCTCCCTGAAAGGAATTAATTCTCCTGAAAGTGAGTTTGCCCAGATGGGGTGCCTTTGTAGAAAACCCTATAAGCTGTGTTTTCTGAAGCAGGGGTAAAATATGCACACTTTTTATTTTATTTTATTTTATTCAAATGTATATGAATGCAATGTATTATCCTACTCTTCGGGCCTCATTCTCCTGTTTCCTTTTAAGCCATGGAATCTCTGAAGAATTCTATATCCTTCCATATCGTACTTTTTTTACAGATCTGGCACAGTGCTGAATCAAAGTTCTCCATATCATTAAAACCTTACGACGAGCCGAAAAGAGAATATATTTTTTTCTGCTTCCTTCTTCCAGGGGTTCTCCCCCATTTCTAATAAGTCTGATGTAATTTAATTAAGCAGAAGGATCCTGTATCTGTTGCAATCAAGGCATGGAGAGTTGAGCAGATTGTAAGACTCCTAGGATTGATTTCCTATAAGATGACGCCAAATCAACTTTTGACACCAAAGCAAGAACAGGGCGAGAGGGGAAAAAAATTGAGACAAATGGTCATCCACACCCTTCTTAAAAACCTCCAGTGATGGAGCACCTACAACTTCTGGAGGCAAGCCGTTCCACTGGTTAATTGTCCTCACTGTCAGGAAATTTCTCCTTAGTTCTAGGCCGGTTGTGTCCTTGAATAGTTTTCATCCATCACTTTTTGTCCTGCCCTCGGGGGCTTTGGAGAGTAAGTGGACCCCTCTTCTCTGTGACAGCCCCTCAAATGTTGGAAAGCTAACAGGTTCTTGGTTCTCATCCGGATTCATTTACTTTGCACAAATTATCCCCTTCCCTCCCTCGTCCAACCGGTATTTCCATAGCTATTCGGGTATCAAATGGATAACCAGGTATTGAATGGATGCAGGATTTAATCAGCCAAAGGAATTCCTGCCCAGGTTTATTGCTATGAGACATGACGGCTGATGCGGGGGAAGTGGATTTCAAAAGGGTGCTTTCCACCCTCCAAATGTTGTCCTTCCTTCCTTCCTTCCTTCCTTCCTTTTTTCTTTCTTTCTTCCTTTCTTTCTTTCTTTCTTTCTTTCTTTCTTCCTTCCTTCCTTCCTTCCTTTTTTCTTCCTTCCTTCCTTCCTTCCTTCCTTTCTTCCTTCCTTCCTTCCTTCCTTCCTTCCTTTTTCCTTTCTCTTTCTTTCTTTCTTTCTTTCTTTCTTCCTTCCTTCCTTCCTTTCTTTCTTTCTTCCTTTCTTTTCTTTTTTTTTTCCCTTCTGAAGCAAGAGAGTTTATTTTCCACTTTCAATCCCTCGGGGCAGATAAATGTGTTTGCAAGTTCAAGGCAGTTTATAGTTGAGCAGTCGTAAAAGATCAGTGGAGTTTATTGGCAACTGAGCAGATCTAAAAGATCACCGGAGTTTATTGATAAAGATGATGAAAGAGGCTGTTCTCCTTGTACATAGTGGAGTGCAAACTCCAGCATCTGGCCCCATTTTCAGAAAAAAAGCTTCTCTCCCTGCCTCCTAATCTAGCTCCAATTTTTTTTTTTTTAAAAAAAATAATAATTACAGAGAGTCCTTGAATGATATCAGTTCGTTTAATGACGGTTCAAAGTTACAAAGCGCCTTATGACCGTTTTTCCCACTTACGACCGTTGCATGGCCACGTGATCCAAATTCAGCCACTTAGCAACTGACTCATACTTATGACAGTTGCAAGTGTCATGTGATCCCCTTTTGCAAACTTCTGACAAGCCCAGTCCATGGGGAAGCCAGTTTCGCTTAACGACCGTGTTACTAACTTAACGAGTGCAGTGATTCACTTAACAACCGGGTCAAGAAAGGTCTTTAAACGGGGCAACAAAGCTCCTTTAACAACTGACTCGCTTAGCAACAGAAATCTCAGTTGTGGCCGTAAGTCTGGGATGACCTGTATTGTTTCTTCAGATTCTGGTTAACCGGTGAATTCCTGGAGCAGGATACAGTCATTTCGAGGCGTATCAAGCTGAGCAACCGGAAAAAACCAAAAATCTCTTTTTTGTACCAAAGAGGAACCTCGGAGCAGATGGAAACGGGGCAGATGGTATTCTTGGAGAAACATTATGGAAATTTGGAACTAATCGCTTTTCTCCGACGATGCTAAGATTATCAATAGGGTGTCTTGAAACGGCACGGAATAGCTCTGAGTTAACTTTCCAGGAAGCTTTCAGATTGCCCCCTTATTTATTTTTTCTAGTTCTCAAAATAGCCCCCGTTTCCTCGTAAGAGAAGAAAGAGTGCAGAAATTGGCCTGGCCAGATGTTGGAGAGAGAATAGCAGAACCTGGAGGGTGGCGTTTAAAAAGGCATCAGCTTAGAATCCCTACCTAGGCGTCAAAAAACGAAGTCCAGCTTTCCTTGAGTTCTGTTCACCTCGACCTAACAACCCACAACTCCTCAGTCTGGATCTGGGGGGGGTGCCCTTGACCCCCAGTCTAAAGTGTCCCTTCCTAACAAGCAATATGGTCCAGATTCTGACATTGCTTCATCCACTCCTATTTCTATAGCTCAAAGCCCCCCTAACCACCTTCGCCTG